TTTGGCATAATTGACGTATTTGTTGCATTATATGGAAAGATTATGGTGTAAGGCTTGCAATGTCAATATCAATATTACACAAKCTAATTGACAGCATGTGTATAGGTTGTTATTTTTGTTTTCTAGGTTAACACAGTGCATWTACTGATGGAATTTTCTCATKCAATATTCGCAGAAATTCAAGCTGGAAAAKCAAAGGCAGRTGACTACACTTTCACGTGTTCCACACAGTTAGGCTGATGAGGCGTATCAGACACTGTTCACAATTTTGTTCAAAGGAATTGTTTATATCCAATCACTTTGCGGTTACTAATCCAATTGATAAGATGCGATTAGGTGTGGATAACTCGCCAATTCAAAAAGGACATTTTACATGTCGCAATGATCTACGTGTATAGGAATAAGTACTATATGAAAGCTAATGCCATCAAGTACAAAGCACATATCTATTTTAAATGCATTCGTTAATAAAAACATTGTCGTTTGATTCAAAGCAAGCAATTATTGCAATGATCATGWTATATTGATCATCGAAAAGGTATCTAGAGCCATTCCGTGACGTCYATACAGTAACTAGATTACTTCTACCTTGAATTCCAGTCACTCCTATCTTAAATTCCAGTTATTACTTTTTACAATAATCAAATCCGGATTTTGAGTACTCGAAASCAGTTTTGAATGATATTTGCTAACATGTAGATTATTAATATTGATGCGGTTATTATCATTTTTCATGTATATAGTGCAAACAGTATTCTCAGGGAAATCGTCATGCACTGTTATCTGCTWTATATATTCTGTTTTGATCTTAACTTCAATAATGCAACATTTTTTGAACTCGCCGGCGTTTTTTAATAAAGTTTACACTTGGGTTTAAAACTTAATAAGAGATAATAAATCGCATATTGCTGTATCACATYCAGATACTATTGGGTCAGGTATTGTCTTGACTGGTCTCGATTTGCCCTTAACACTGTAATCACTCTATTGGCTGATTGTTTTTATTTCACATTAATCACGGAGAATGCATCCTCTTCGCAACTCTATGATTTTATACGATTGTATCAGATACGCTTGTTGCAGTGAATTCCTCAATGTCTCGCTCTTTGGCTGTTATATCAGACATACTCAAATCAACAGTGCTGACCATTGTGGTCGTTGACTGCCATGACTTCATTTTGTTCTTGGTTTGGATCTTCCCTCCTTTACTCGACTGGCTAGCACTTCGTCGTTTCTTGAKAATACAATGACGTATGAATGCAAGCATTGAGGCCAAGAGAAGAAAACATCCTGAAGCATAGAAGACTGGGTTGTATGAATGACTGTAGTCAGCGATGAATCCTGTGGACGACAGAAAAAAAGCTAACACGACGCAAAACAGAMTGTACACCTTGTTAAAGCTCTTCTTTCCTTGTGACTACAATTATGCAGCCAGTACATACAAATTTTATAAAATGACGCATTAGCTAAGGGCCAGTTCAGACGTTGAACTTTTGTCGCGCCTAATTCAATGACTTACGTTTCGTTTCTGAGCAATTCATACCCTGAATTCATTGATCACTATTGTGGACTTTGTCCAGTTGGGAATACTCACAAATTGATATACAGCAAAAACCTCGTTAATTGTCTTAATTACATGCCAGCAAAAGATCGACGTCTGACAGCTGAACACTGCAAGATTAGTACTTTTTTATTTACCTCCAATTGGTGGACCAAGGAACATTGGTATTGAAGCAAAAAACATCATCCAACCAATACCTTGTCGAGGGTCTATTGACATCGATAAACAATATACCGATGTAAAATACATAGCTTCACATATTCCTTGCATAACAGCATAGCCATAAAGATAACCGATATTTGACGCCAATGGCATCAGGATTTGCGTTATTGCCATAAGAACCGATCCACATTGAAACATGGTGTAAAACGAGACACGACCAGTGTCACCAACTTTTCCAGTGAGTATTCTACATACAGTCGATATCATACCAGTGACGGGATACATCCACGAAGACGCATGAGTCGATATTCCTATGTCTTCAGCGAATTTTATCTACAGCATAATATAAATTATAAAGCATGTCAAACAATCAAACAATCAATCCCTCAATCAATCAACCAACCAACCATCGACCCAACGACCAACCAACTAACCAATCAATTATAGCACGAGTTTCATTTTGTTTCTACAGGGAGTCGAGGAGATATAAGGTTGTACTACGTATATAACTTCACTAACCAGATGAACTAAGGGCGTAAAGTGCCCCAGATGCACCGCGCTATTCATGACAATCACTAGAATTAGCATAGGATTCTTGAGTGAAGACAGATTTTGAAGTACCGCAGACCAAAGCTTTTTCCTTCTTCCATCAAGGTTACTGGTCGTGTCTTTATTTTGTGGATGCACTTTTTCTACTTTTCTAGTAATGGTGCATCCCAGAATACTTGCCACAAGGTTCAYACCCGCCAATACCAGCATGGTTTTCCTCCAACCAAGATAATCTATGAGTATATGTGCTATGGGGCTCATTATAACAATCCCAACCCCAGGCCCTGCTGCGGACACCATACCAGTGGCAGATGAACGATGTTTATCAAAGTACAGTGGGACCATYAGAAATCCTGCCATGTAAACCAGACAGGAACCCCAAGCGACCAGGAAACCATATGTAAAGGAGAGAACATAGATATTGGGAGCGAACGACGATCCCAGGAGTCCTAGCGCGGAAATGAATCCACCGCATGGAATGACGACACGACAACCAAAACGGTTAATAAAAACCGCTGCTACTGGACATAGAATAGTGGTGAATCCATTTAAAAAAGAACCAGGAAGAGCTGTAAAATGAAATATGATAGATAAAACCATAACAAACAGCTGATTTTTGGCAACCAATGAAGAGAATATTTTATACAAATTTTCCCGATCACGTGGCTAATGTTCTAGTGTTTACGTGACGTAATCACGTACCTGTGACGTAATCACGTACCTGTCTTTGCTTTTCCAGCTTGAAATTCTGYCAGGATTGCAGGAAAAAAGATACCATATATGGAGGAYGTTCCCACACAAATAAGGCATACCAGGGAAGCACATAAACAGGCAAACCAAGAAGCTTTGCAATCCAATGGCAGTGMTCTATTGGGCAGCGTTTGGTGTGGCTCTAAAAATGAACTTCTTTCCTCTGRTAATAAGATTATTATAATAAAGTTTAGTTTTAAATTCTTTTATTTTGCGTTAYTTGTTTGTTAGTGGCATAGCGATGTTCCCTTTTGACCAACCTCATGAAGGCCGCTCAAGTTTGCATTTATTTTGCAGGGACGTTCTACTGACGTTCGTAGTTCCATAGCTGCGTTGCGCACCTAATGCTCAAATGATTTAGCTGATTCAAATGAAATGGTTTCAGGATCTAYAGCCCAGTTTTTCTGGGCTGCAATAGTGTGTAGCTTTCCAGTAAACCCGTTTCGATCAGCTGTTGAATGCGTTTATTTAGCMATTGAAATCAGTGGCACCATTAATAAATGGATCTATGAATTCAAGTTTACTTCGATAGTGAGTCGTTATAGCTGTGCAGKGCATTACCTGAACGCACGCGTGGATATTCTTGACTAGTGGCTTCTTGTTCCATGTTCGTTAAAAAGATTTCTRACAGAAAACGTTTATAAGTTATTGAAGCTTATTGATGTAAAAGGCTACAGAGATTTTACCTTACCAGTCTTAGACGGYTAGTTATAGAAAGTCCATTTCACAGGCAAATATAGGTGGGTATGTTAAGCCTTGTAGCTGATCTGATGACTTGAATGTGTTCTAGATAACATCATATTTAGCTATTCCAATGTATGCGTAATTACGGTCTATGATTACAAACAAAGACGTATTGTAATRCGTCAACAAATAAAAAAAGCTTCTCTTCTATCTTCTGAACATTTAGCAGTTTGATTTTCAAATAAAAAGAAATATAACATTTTAATTCGATATTTTCAAAGTCTCCCGCAGTGTTATTAACCCTCGTAAAACCGTCCATGAAACGTTTGTGCCTTAATCACTACACGAATGTACAGGTACAAAAGGTAATCTTGGCTTGAGTACATTTTATTGTCGCAGGATTATAAGACTTAGAGACCTCGTTCCAAGATGAATTGGGCCCAAGGGCGGATGATAATAGAAATCGAAATTATGATATAAATGTAATAAGAAAATGATGAATCATTCTAAAAACATTTTCTTGTACGGTATCTATCTCCTTTGTAACATTCTGAATCTGCCCACTGCGGGGAAAATAATTCATCCGAGCTCTGATTTCATTTATTTGGTTATTGTGGGCATAGGAAGCCCAATCACATATAGCCCAATCGAAGCATAATTTTCAAATTATAACAATGAATAACTAAAAAGATCTCGGCAAGCTGACTTTTGATTAAAGAGCATTCCTTTGCCGGAACGTCTAATGTTCACAACAGTT